CAGACTGGCCTTGAGCTCACTATGCAGCCCAGGCTGACCTTGAAGTCATGGTGATTCTACTGCCTTAGCCTCCCAAGTGCTGGGATTACAGGTGTGTGCCACCACACCCAGATTGCAGTTGATGTGTAATAGTATTATAGTCGCTTATACGATACAATGGCACACACATTCCACTAGGCCAAACATCCCCGGTGGGTTAGGTCAGTATGTACAGCTCACTGCTCCCCTAAGCGATCCAGAAGCCTTGATGGGAAGGAAGGCTTTATTCACAGCTAGCTCTGAAGGAGACAGAGAGGCTCTTACTGCCTCAGTCTTCATCTCCAAGTTGGGGTGTCCAGAGGCTTCTATTACAAGGGAGGAAGGAGGAACACAAGGAGACAGACAGGGAAATTCCCATGCTTCTTTTATTCCCCTGGCCATTCTCAGAAAGGAAACCGGACCTTGACCATATTCCTTTCAGATGGGCTATACTAGTGCTTATGACAGAGGTGTTGCTTTTCTGTGCATTCATTTGAGCTGAGGAGAGGAGGGGATAGCTGTTTACTGTGCTCCCAGAAGGAGGAAGTTGCAGATACAGTTTCCGTCTAAAAGCAAAAATACTACTAATTTTGAAAGAGCCATTTTACCTCTCAGTTACACAAAGTATAGGCTCAAGGCCAGGCAGACCAACACTTCCTTTGGTTATCAAGGCATACCATAGGCATTATTGTCCTTGGATGCGTCCCTTGAAACAGACAAGATAGACTCAAGGGCCTTGAGTCTGCAAGGCAAAGGAGGGGCTAGGAATGGAGAAAGCAGGAGTATCTATTAGGTGAACCCCAGGTTCCTTCCAGTTTAGAAGGCTCAGCCACACACAATGGGAAGCCAGGGACATGGACAACTCATAGGGAGTCCTGCACACCCAGACACTACAAACCCTATGCCATTGCCATTTCACTGCCCAGGAATGTCTCAGAAACACATCAGTTTACAAGCTGAGGAAGAACCTTTGGGCACCATGGCTGTAGCTGTGGCATATATTCTCAGGAGGCTAAATGACACAGCTCACCAGCCACCACAGCCTTGATAACCTGCAAAGGACTTATGTCACCCAATTCTATGCCCACAGCAGAGGCTAAACGTGTGCTTCTATGTGGCTTGATAGCAGACACTCTCTCCTTAAATCCTGTCAGTTACTAGCTCTGTGGTCTCCAGCACAACAATTGCTCAGCCTCAGATTCTCATAATTCCTAAACCCCTTTTCTAAGTGTTAAACCCTTGTAGAGAACCGGTTGATCCTCTCTGCACCGAGGGAGAAAAAAGTGATATTTTTCTGGAAAAAGACCTGAAGTGGTGACAACAACAATGGTCCAGGACAACATGGTGGCAACAGCCTGACTCTTAGACGAATTTTTATAATTGGTCAACTGCCACATCAACCAGCAGTCACAAAAGTCCCTGTGAACAGTGTCAAAAAGAATCATAGACACTTGGTGGTTTGGATTCCAAATCACATCATGATGTTCACATAATAAGGATCTCCACATATGGGTCTTATGGAGATGGCTGAGTTGAGATTGATGGACTTGGTGCTTACTGTGGTGGCCAGTGCTCACCATGATTGAGCTGGTGGAGGCAATGGCCACCATGAAAGATGGGGTGCAGAGGATGGAAGAATGGAGAGAGGTAGGAATGCCAGAGGTGGGAAGGTAGTTCTGGTAGTGAGGACAGAGGTGACAGAGGTGGTGGAAGTGATGGCTTTGGAATTAGCAGTAAAGATGATGGCAAAGAGGTAATGGTGGTGGTTATAATGCAAGTAGCCCTGGAGATGATGGTGTTGATAGAAAAGGGGGAGGGAGAGATGCGGACAATAGTGGTGGAAGTGGGGAAGATGATGGTGGTGATAGAAAAGGAGATGGTGGTGGTAGAAAAAGACAGGAAATGGTGACAATGACAATGGTGCAGGGCAAGAAGGTGGCAACAGCCTGACTCTTGGACCCCACCAGGCCCAGGTCTCTGAGTCTTAATCTGGCTCACATGAGCCACAGCAGGTCATGGCATCATCTGCAAACTACCTGCCAGTCTCTACCCACCCTCCCACTGCCTCCAGAGTCACAAGCCTAAAGTGAGCTCCCCATGCCACAGGGGGAAACCCAAGAAGCAGAGGCAGCCATTCACATTCCTGAGCAGTGGCCAAGATGACTCAGGCTGAGACATTGCCCTGGTCTGTGGGCCGATACGTAGTGGCCACACAACCAGCCCAGCTACGCCCATGTGCCCAGAGAGTGGGCTCCTGGCCCTCTCCAGAGGAAACAGTCACTCTGACAGGTGCTGTATTCAGGCCATCATGCTCTTTACCAAACCCATATTTCATGTTCTGATCAGGTCCTGCCCAGGTCCTGTAACTCTACACGTAAGAGCCATTCTGTACAGTGGAATGACTGGTGTCTACCTGGTTTGGTAGAGCAGAAAGCATCCAGGTCCTGCTGTGCTCACTCAGGACTGATCTATTATCACATCCTCCTCGCTGATCTCCAAACCAGAGGGTGGGAGCCACAGAAGATGCCACTGTCCCTGTCTCAACAGGTAGGTGATCTCCAGGAGCCCCTGAGCCCCATAAGCCTTGCACTGAGGGAGAACATGAGGAGACTGCATGGGACAGTTGCACTGCCTCCTCTCAGCAGACCCATCGTACCTTCCCCTTCCCCTTTCAGTCTCAGTCCACACACCTGTCATCCTTAAGGTCCCTAGGATACTATGAATCAAGACTCAGGTGACAGAATCGTGGCAGTTAGCACTGAATCAGTGATTCCCAAACTGTGGTTCCTGGGTCAGCCTGTTGCTCACCAGATGACTGGAAGATGAGGGCTTTCTTTATCTATAGGCATTACATAACACAGAATCCCCTTTCTAGTATCGCATCATCAATGGCATCATCATTACATTAATTCTTGCCATATAAAAAGGCCAGTTTGGTAAAGACAGACAGCAGCGGCAATCTCATGACTCAAGCTAACAGGATGTTTCAGACAAAGCAGAAGTTATAAAGCAGAAGAAGATGGACAGCTACAAAGCAGTAAGGTTCCACCAAATCCCCTGTGACTCCTTCCCCAACGCTATTCTCACTGGAGTGTTCTCCTGTATGGGACCTGTTGCTTTGATTTTTGGATTCTGTTGTGAAATTCGCCTTATTTTCACTTCCAACAGTCTGTCTCTTATGCGTGTTGGTGTGATTTTCTTGAATTTACTCTGCTTAGATTTGCTGAGATCTCATATCTCTATTCCTTCCGAAAAAATTGAGTTTTTGGTAAATATTTTTCCACTCCATTAGCTCTCTTTCCCCCTTCACTGGTTCCATTTATGTGTGAGTTGAATATTTAAATATTGTCCAACATATCATTGAGGTTTGTTTTTAAAATTATTTTCTTTGTGTTCTTCAAATTGAATAATGTCTAAAACTTCATCTTAAATCTATCTTTCTTTTGTCATTTCCATTTAGCTGTTGATTATAACTAATGACTTTTTAAGTTGCACATATTGTCCTTTTCATATGGATGGTTTCCATTTGATTATTCTAAATTTGTAAATAGTTTTATAAGCATGTTTTCCTTTACACCTTTTATGTCTTTTTCATCCATGGCTATAAATCACTGCTTTAAAAACAATACTGGATTTCTTGGGGAAAAAAAAATCCTCATCTACTAATTTCAACATTTGAGTCATTTTGGAGTCCCTTTACACTAGCTTTCTTCTTCTCTAGAGACTTGATTGTCTTTTCTTATTTCTCCACCTGTCAAATAATTTTGAAATGTATACTAGACATTATGAATGTGCCATAAACTCAAACAATATCGACATCTTTGTTTGCTAATTTTAGTAGTGACATGATTTGGCTGGAATCAAATGCAATCTCCTGCCTGCCCAGCCCTCCATGCCCCTGGCAGGCTGCAGCTCCAGTCTCCACTGGGCTCCACAGCCTTAGGTGAGCTGCTTGGACCCGTCCTGTGGATGCGCACGTGCCTCAGCGTCAGGGGGTCATCTGAGCAGTTTCTACACAAAATTTGTGACTGCTTATGTATTTCTCTTCTCTCTTCAACCCCCACTTTGCAGCAATTATTTTTGCTTCCATATCTGTCCTCTAGTTATTTAAGACAGTAAACCATTCCTTTTATAAAACATTCAATTTTAGCCACCCTGCACTGTGCTGATGGAGACCTACCTTCAGGTTAAATTTAGGAACTGGGGAATTCACCAGTGATTTCCCACTCTCTGTACCTTAATTCCTTTGCAGTGTCTGCCTGCTCTGTCACTCGCCTATGCTTTTCCATGGTAGTTTTCTATACTTCCCAAGAGTTTATAGTCATTGCCTGCAGGACAGTTGATTGAAGAGGAGCTACTCAGCTATGCTGGGGTTCGGAATCTTTTGTGTTGTAAATGGTCCGAACTGAGAGGTAGTGATGACGCTGAGGCCAGGAGAGGAAACAAGACCACAGGGTGTTTCAGAATGGGAAGAAATCAGAGAGAAATCAGCTGTGATTTTAAAAACTGCATTGAGGACTTTTTAGAATCCTAAAACACACTGGCTCTTGTTCAAATCTTCTATTTTGGGCATTAGTAAATTGGTGACAACATCAGCAAAAAAGAAAAATCAGTGTTCCTTAAGTGTTTACTACATTCTGTGCTGGGCCCTTAAAAGCATTTGCTCAAGACAGCTTGGTGAAACTGTAGTTTTTTATTGGGAGATTGGAGAGGAGGAGATTGAGTTTCTAATAAGGTTAAACTCAAGGTGACAGAGCTCTCCGCATGATTAACCAGTGATAACAATGGCTCGTGTCTATGGAATTATTATCATGTTATAGCACACTCAGTGTTATCTCATTCAATCCTCCTAGCAATCCTATGAGAAAAGCACTATTACTCTCACTCCACCTTTTCAGACAGACCAATGGCTTAAAATATCAGGTAACTTGCCCAAGGTCATATAAGCAGCAAGTGATAGACCTAGACTCCAACACAAGCAGATTAGCTTGCCAAACTCCATGCCACAAAGTTTTCTGGCTGTGATCAAACATCTGAGAAGTCTTGTCACCCTATAGGTCTTCTGCACAGGTGAGGCCCTCTCCTCTTGGTACAGACTAGATGGGCTCAAACAGAATCCAGAAGGCTGCAGGCCTCTCAGCCACAGGCACGCAGGTGGTACCCAGCAGATACCTGTGGGGTACAGATCAGCCCATTTCTGTCCATTCATCAGGCACCCCAGCCTACAACACAAATGAGGAAATCTTCCTAGTAAGGAATAAGCAGCAACAAACTGCAGAGGTTCCCTTGTCCTGGTTTTCACTTCATCTTTTGGAAGATGCAGTCCTCTTGGTAAGCGGAGATCCCAGGCTCGAGCCAACGGGCTGCTTTGCCTCCAGGTGCTGTGATGAACCACTTCCAGACCATCCTGGCCCAGGTTCGGGCACTGCTCTCCAGCCACCAGCCGAAGCAGGTGCAAGCCTTTCTGGATAGCCTGCTGGAGGAGGAGCTCCTGTCCAGGGAGTACCACTGTGCCCTGCTCCGTGAGCCAGATGGTGAGACTCTGGCCAGGAAGATTTCCCTGACCCTGCTGGCGAAGGCAGACCTGGACTTGGCTCTCTTGAGCTGGGCTTGGAGCCAGTTGCAGGACCCAACGGTGGAGAGGGGCCCTGGCTGCAAGGATCATGGTGGTGAGTTGGATCCCTCTGCCTCTAGGAAGACAGACTTGGGGAGACGGCTCAAGGATTTTTTTCTTTCATCTGAAAAGGAAGTCTGTGGGCAGGAATCAGGGCATCTGGTGAGCTGACAGGAGCAAAGAGCTCTTAGTAATTTCAGTCTGTGGCTGGGTGTGTTGGAGACATGGAGCTGCTTCCCACACTGTGTATGAAACCTGCCCTAGGGCAGGTGGCACATGCCCACCCTGAGCCCCACCAACATGCCAGCACAATAACTGTGGGCAAAAAGTAGAGAAATGGGGTGCTGAAGAGAGAGGGGCCAGACCAAGAGCTAGACAGCAGAGGACACTGTGTCCACTTCTGCATGGGGTGTGTGCATGGACATGCATGCATGTGTATGCATGAGTGTGTATTTGTGCTTTTGGGCATGTGCATTGGTGTCTGTACATGCATTTGTACACATGCACATATGGGTATGTGCATGTACATGCATTTGTGTGTATGCGCACATGCACTTGGGTGTATATATATTGCTGTGTGTACATGCATTTGCAGGTGTGTATATTGTTGTGCATACATTCATTTGTATATGCGTGTGTGCCTCTATGTTCTTTTGTACATGTGTGTATAAATGCACTTGCATGTGCATGCTTGTGCGTCTGAGTGATAAACATTCAGACAGAGAAAAAGAGATAAAGAAAGAGGGAGACAGACAAAGGCCAGGAGTAAAAGGAAGAGAAGAAGGAAGGGAGAGATGTGTCTTAAGCAGGGTAAACAAGCCTGCGCCCACTCTGAGGTTCCAGCTAGGCTTTCCTAGATGCTCTCAGGTACAAAGATGCCAACTTGGTTTCAGCGTACTTTGTAAGGACGTGTGCCTATCCTGTCTCCTCAGGGACTCTCTGCTTTTCTGATCTTAGGACTTAGGGGAATGATCATATTCCAGCCCCTGTAGTCCTATTATGGCTTTAAAGTCACTTAGAAACCTGGGATTTAACAGTTACTGAGTGCTTACTGTGTGCAGGCAGAGTCCAGCTCGGTCCGCACCCTCTACCAGGTTGTCCCTTCCAGTCTGCGCCCTTTGAGAATCTGCATCCTCACCCAGCATGCAGAAAGGGGGCAGATGCTGGGTATGGTGGTACACCCCGTAATCCCAGCACTTTGGTGGGCTGGGACAAGAGACTCTTAAATTTAATCCCAACCTGGGCGATTTAGCAATTTAGTGGGACCCTGTCTTAAAATAAAGAGCTGGGGATGTGGCTCAGTGTGAAAGCCCTAGGTGCAATCCCTAGCAGAAGAAAAGGAAGGAAGGATGAAAGGAAGAAGGAAAGAGAAAGGAGAGAGGAAGGAAGATGGGAACTGGAAAGAAAAATGAAAAACAAGGCAAAGCATAGCAAAGCAAAGCAAAGCAAGGCAGAGACTGTCCAGAATGTCTAGTGGGAGGTGACAAGGGTAGACTGGAGAACAGACAAGCTTTGGTCCTCTGAGGGGTGAAATATCTTCAGTTGGCACTCCCTGAGGCACCAGGGCAAAGCTGGCTCCTCCAAGTCCTCTGTCACAGCCTGTTTTTGTCACGGGGTTTGTGTTTGTGGGGTTGGTGCTCTTGGCTAGCTCTCGCCCAGGTGGTCTCCATCTGTCACAGAGCACCTTTCCCTCTGTCCTGTCTCACAGACCTCCAGGCGGAAGCGAAGCAGACTCCTGCTGCACATCATCCCTCCCTGCTCAGCAGGGCCAGCAGCCCTTGGCTCCTACTGGTCTGCTGCCCAACACCTTAACCCTCCCTCCCCCTCTTTCTGAGAGGGCTGGTTCCTGTTATTAACTGCGTTTCCTCCCTGGGGATGTAATATTTTTATTTCAGGTCTCATGTGACTTTAGAAAGTGGAACTTCCTTGAGGCTTGAGGTGTGAGGTTCTCAGGGGGCTTCGAGATGATAGGATGGATGTGTGGTCTTTTTCCTCTCCCTCTTCCTGCCTGCACGCCTGGTCCTCACCAACCTTGGGACGCTGGTACCTTGCAAGCTATTGGGAGGTGAGGGGGGAGGTTTGGAGAGACACAGAAAGGGAAGAAGCAATAGTGGCTTGCAAATAAAGGACATTGACTTCAGATTCAATGGGTGGTCAGAAAAGAAAACCAGCTGAGTGGGGTAACCTTCCCGCTCAACTGCATCCCAATGATGGGACACTCAACTGCTCTAAACTCTGCACTTTCTCCCCACATCACTCAGAGAGAAAGATGAACCTAGACAATATCCCAAAACGTCCTTTACAACCTGCCCTCATCAGTGCTCCACCCTCATCCCTTGCTTCTTTCAGGACTCACATTGCTCCTCAAACACACTTGGCAGACCCTCTGCCCGGGACCTTTGTGCATGCTCTCTCTGCCCGCTCCAGCACTCCTCTTCAGGTATCCTCTTGGTCAATCTCCAAGAAATTCTTGCTTCAAATGCCATCTTATGAGTGAGGCCTACCCTGCTCTGCTCCTGCTCTCTGAGCCTGCTCCCAGGGCTTGACTCCCTCTCCACCTTCCATATATATCTACTTTTATATTATGAGTGTTGTTTGTTGTTTGATTCTCCCACTGAAGACTAAGGTCCACGTGGCTGTAGATCTAAAACTTAATCACAATGAATCCCAAATGCCTAGCACAGTGCCTGAGCACATAATAACTGCACCTCACGATGTGTTTATTTCATGTTGAATGGCTGGGTGGGTGAATGTAAAGGTCACATGGCACCATTATCCTCCTGTTACAAGTGAGTAGACTGAGGCCCAGAGGAGTTCAGCAGTTACCTCTAAGGTCATGGCCTGGGAAAGACGCTGTTGGGCTCTCATGAGGTCAGATCTATTATAGCAATTTCTGCTTGGCCTCTCTGCTAGACATCCCAGGAAGACACCATAAACCTATCCCAAACAGGTTGTAGCTCTCTGAGCAGAAACTGCACTGGTGGTTCAAGAACTGTCTTAGCTACAGCAGTGCAGAAAGACCCCTCTGGAATGGGCCCTTGGCTCTGGGTCCACCTAACAGCAGCACCAGGGAAGCACCATGAGGATGGGGACTCCATGTGAGTAGGGGACTCCAGGTCCTTCTCCTGAGGACTCACAGGATGGATGGGAAGTCGAAGCAGACATTCAGACAGATACGGCAGCCCTGGGTGACATTCTTCTGAAGGCAAATGTAAAGCAAGTGGGGGTGATGAAGTAAACCAAGTTGGCAGCTGGCAGTTCTGGGTCTGAGCTCTGCTCTGCTGCTTCCAAACTGTGTGTCACTGGCTGCATGACTGGACCACTCTGAATCCGAGTTTCTCAATCTCTAGAACAAGGGTGATAGAACTTATTCAGAGCTTGAAGGCTAGTGCTGGGTAGCTGGGAGCATTACACAGGAAGCATCAGCCAGGGGCCCAAGGAGCTAGGGAACCTCATTTCTCTCATCTCATTGACCTCCCCTTTTCCCCCAAGGCAGGGCTGAGAGTTTGGGCCCTGCAGATCTAAGACCAAGTCAATGCCCTCCCCAGTTTAGCACTTTCCTTCAACATCTCGAGGGCCAGTCCTGACTCCCACAGGCCAGGAAGTGTGATAAGCATCTCCTGGGGCCCCCATGGGTCTTGGTTTTCCCATCTGTAAAGTGGAGATGACAGTCATCTTCAGAGTTGTCTTCCTGAGGGTTTAGAAAACTATCCTGCCTGAGGCAGGTACATTTCCAGCAAGGGAAGCTGGTCTGACTGAGCCTGAGATGACCACAAGCCCATGTGAATGAGAGTCGAGGCCACCCAGCTGGCCTTGGGTATTACTTGCTTCCTCAAGGCCACAGGATACTGCAGCTGGACATCTACATTTTGTGGCTGTCCTTAGCTCCACTGTTGTCCTGTTGCTCTGCTGTTCCATTGCATGGAGTCAGTTCAAGGAACCAAAGAATAAAGTCTCCCTTGAGGATGTGGCCTGATTTACTGGAAAAGGAGGAACACAGTGCAGCCTGTTCTACCTTCTTCCCCCAGCTTCCTTCCCCATTCCTGCCTTGGGATACAGGAAACCAGAGCTGGGAGGGCTGCGGAGGATGGAGGCCACACCTCCAGCTTCCTTCCCAGCCAGCCCCGCTCCCCTTTTGGTGGGGGATCTCTTTGCCTCCTGGACTAAGTGGGCTGCGTGGAACATTCTTGTCCTTCCCCCAGGGGCACCTCTCTGCAGTCTGCCCTGTTGTACCCTGGGAGCTACAGAGGGAGCCTCCCCCAAGCCAATGCCCCTACCTGGCCAGGGATGATTTCTGTCCCTGTCCCCTTGAGCACACACTCACCTGTGTCCTTGTGACTCACCCACCTGCCCTCTAGCTTTCCTGGACATGGAGCCTACCAACTCAGGTCTACTTACAACTGCTTCCTTATGTATCTGTAGCCACTCTTTTCCACTTACCAATTTATCATTTCTCTATTTGCTCAGTCGTTGGGACAATACATGGGAAGATCAGAGGATAAGGTGAATATTTAAATTTTTAAACCGTTGATTACAGTAAAAGACACATTGCTGCTGATCCCCCTCATAATACTCCTTGATTCATACACAGTTATCCTAGTGTTCATGCCACTCTCTGCAGCAGCTTGGAAGTCCTCTTTCTTGAGTGTCTTTAGTGGCACTGCTGTGGCTGCCTCCATGTGCTGGATCTATTCAAAACATTTATCTTCCTGGCTGTTTTGACTGTGGGGAAGAGCCAGAAGTACAGCACTGGCTCGGGAGCCTATGATGGACAAGGATACGCTGTGACATTTTGGACAGAAATTGGCATAAACATTTTGAATCAATTCAGGATATTGAATCAGCCACTAAAAGTCACAAAAGAGAGACAAAAGAGGTGAAAAAGAGAACACAAAAAAAGAATGACGGGCTAAGTGTGAAACAAGAGAGCCCATTCTGATGAGGATTCACAGACACAATGTGCAGTGTGTCTTCTACTGCAGTAATAATTATTATTATTGATTTTTTGAGACAGAACCTTGCTATGTAGTCCAGACTGACCTTGAACTCATGCTG